CCCCCGACAATAAAATGGTGAGCAAAACAGACGTCCTATCCTAAACTGACCTGACCCGAAGCGCTGTACACGTTTCGGTGCGTGCGCGCGTGCGCCCGCCCGCCCAGCCTCGACCTCATCTCATCTCTCCACGAAACACCTCATGCGGGCACGACTGTCTGCGTCGTCATCACCCCCCCCAGGGTCAAACAACTCAAACAACAACCTTCATCATGTAAGGAACGACGACTTCAAGGCATTCATCCAAACATCCGCGAGAGTGCTGCCACCCACGCCACCAGACTCGTGCCCAAACATCGTACCGCGGTAGATAACTTCCCCAACAGAGAGAGACGACCGCAACCAATACTACAAGTATCAAACACCTCACACGTGTGGGGCACCTCCTGGAGCAGCAGACGAGAGTCGTTGTTCTTTCGGGGTGGCATACCCGCAAAAGCTGGACGGATTTTCCTGCGGAACAAGAACCACGCACGACGGTACGGGAGAGGCGTGTGGGATGGGACGGTGGTCTCAGACAACAAAACTATATCGCTCGCGTTGGGGTTTGGGTGTAGCCCCCAAAACAAAGAATCGCATGTCGGACAACACACGATGAGTGCCCATGTTCCTACAGACCATCCACCCGCACTGACATCAGGTCGCACTACTGTACGTTCTGAACACAGGGTTGGGCTGAGATCTGCAATTGAGGATAGCTTTCACTTTTATTGTTCCCGTGGGATCAAACAAGCGACAGTCAGACACGAGGAAAACAACATACCAAAGTCGTCCAACGTACATATAGTAAAAGTTTGGGATTTTCACAATACATTGGTTCCGGCGATGGTTTTTGGCGAGGACGTACCACATACATACGTAAGTGCTTCAAGTATAAGACACTGGACGCTGTCACCGGAGAAACAACTCAAACAAGAGTGACACCCAAACTGTTTAAAGTAGAAGGCGTTTTCATCGCACCTTGTATGGCGATGAAAACCAACACAGCACGGGGATAGCACAACTCGAACAGCAACAAAAACACGACCAAAGAGTAGGCGCTATTTTACCTGTACCGGCTACAAACAACCACCCCGAGGGGTAACACAGCTCCCAATAGCAACAACAACTAAATTTCATTCAACCCATGCCCTTCGACTTCTTCAACATCTCGAAAGGGTAGTCTTTCCTTGACGGGGATGAAACGCATCAACACCCCGAGGAATAACAACTCCGAAGAGCAACAACGAAAACGACTTCATTCAACCCATCCCCTTCGACTTCTGTAACATCTCGAACGGGTAATCTTTCCTTGAATGCATGGATATTTTCGACAACGTGCTTTCTTGCCTTTACGGGGATGAAACGCATAAATACCCCGAGGGGTAACGCGATCGCTCCCAGGGCGACCGTTACGAGCCACTCCTTGCTGCTCAGGTGAGCGGTCTTGGTAAACTCTGCACCCATCTCCACGATCAAAAACTGGTTGAAAAAACGGGAATACGATGGGGGTCAAGAGGTTGCAAAAAAAAAATTGATGTGTTGTGCCGCAAATTGGTCAGACAGTTGGAATGGCTCATATGCGCGGCGCTCAATCGCGCAACATATCGAGACGTCTGCGGTGGGGTCATGCCACGAACACAATCAATCATGGAACAGAGAAGGTTCACGACAAACAGAGGGGGCATGCCAACGTCCCAACCACGGACGCAACCAAGTGAATCTGTTTGAAACAAAAATATGAAACAAGAGACGACGAAAAGCAATTGCACCGCTACCCTAGCACACAATGGGGGCCCCGGTTTAGCGATTCCTACATGACGTTAACGATAGCCCGAGAACTAGACGACAGAAAACAAGTGCACCGCTCTTCTAGCATACAGTACCTGGAGAATGACGGTAACAACAATCACCGCAGCGAAAAGGGGGTTATTGTGCAACCCCCTGAAAATGTTCCAATCGTCGAAGATGGATCTGGCGTTCAGCTCGTTGAAGACTTGGCAAAACACGAACGCGTTGAACAGGATGCTGCGCCGCCGGGGACAAGTTCGCAAAACGGCGCGAGTGCGGGGTGAGGGATATATCTTGATGACAGAGGCGAATGTGAGTTGTGACAAGTTTGATGCGGTATGCCAACAATTTCAATCCTTGCTCTTGGGGGTACATGTAGCCAGGCTATGCATACCGGAATCAAGTGCCACGGCATGCGGCGGTAGTACCGACATCACTATCTGCGAAGTCATCATGACACAGCAACACATCAACAACACCAGCCCCAACAGCAGCAACAACGGAAACGACGACGAAGACGAAAAGGAGGAGACATCGACCGTAACAACAACAGCAACAGCAACAGCAGCAGCGACAACACTCACGTGTAGTGTGTGTAGTCGTTCTTGCTACACTCCATGTCACAATCGTCGTAGAACGTGTCCACGTCCTCGTCGTTCGTGAAGAAGTCGCCGGAGGTGTCGAAGAACTCATCATAACAAATGTACTGAATCAACAATAAATTCAATCGAGAGATCGATTTCGCAGACGGCGGCATGGACAGCAACAGGTGCGGGTGTGATTTTGCGTGGAATCCATGTACGGGCATTCAAACATGCTTGTACGGTCACGCGCGTCCTCATCCAAAGCCAGCAGTAGTGTCCATGCTCAACGCATAACCATCACCTGGAAGGAGGTGAAAGGTTCAGCGACTGACTGGCCTTAGGAAAATCATCCACCATTCTAGTGGGCCTGAGGGATGTAGGAGCCCTCCTGTGTGACGACGGGTTGATGTATCTGGCACACATGCTGTGAGCGCTGATTTGAAGTCGAGACAAGAAAAGAAAACTCGCCACGCACCTCTCTCGCATCCGTGCATGTGTTTTCCACATAGTCCGTGTAATCCTGGCAATACAATCCGGCAATCTCCCTGCCGTCCTCCCCCCCGATGTCCCAAGCCTTGCACGCGTTGTCCTTCTGGACACCGGGGAACAGAGTGTGGATGTCGTACAGGAGCCACAGCAGCAGGATAAGCTGAGCAGAGGAGGACAAAGAGGGGCGGGGGGCGCAGGGGGGGTTTCAGCCACGAGATGGGCGAACAGAAAAAACATCCGGGTCCCGGTGCCGTGTCGAACTTTTCGCGCTGCAGATTTAGTTGTGCCTAGCAGTCTCGAGGTTGGCCTCCACTTCTCGTTCGATGAGCAAGTGTCCTAGGTTCATATGCGTACGCCTGTTTTCATGTGTTCATGTTGCTTGCGGAATATCGAAACTCTGTCGGTGCGATACCACTTGTTGATGCTTGCACCACGAAAAACGCCTCATGCCTATCCACCAATAGCCTCCGCAGGGTGGTCGCGTTCAAGTAAAACACGCTGGGTAAAGCACATGCACAATGGGGGAAGTTGGATTGGGGATAGGGTTCGGAAATAGGTTCTGCGTACCCCCCCTTTCGCTGTTCGATATCACTAACTTTTGTGGAGGCGGTCCCTATCCACATGCCGCCCCCAACGTCGACAAAGAAGGCCATCTCTCGCCGCGGACGACAGAACGACAGCTGGCTGGCATACATCCACGCACGCACACCTGGAAGGTGGACTGGACCATGATGTTGCGGAACATGGGCCTGCTGATGAGCGGGGCGTTCCGCTTGTAGGGGCGGCGGTCCAGCAGTGCAAGCGTCGGTGCCTCCGTACCCAGCGCCAGGGCGCCCATGGTGTCCATGATGAGGTTGACCCAGAGCATCATGAGGGGGTTGAGGGGGGGGTCCTTGCCGGAGAGAGCCCCGATGAACACGATCAGAAGAGCCACCACTGGAGGTTCCACGAGCGAAGCAATAGGGGAGAGGGGAGGGCGAGTCGTTGGTGTTGTTCTAGTTTCATATCGGAGACCGCTATGTGAGGCCTCTTACCTATTCAACAGTAGTTTTGCAAATATATCAAGACCTGAATGAACTACCAATGGTCGGCTCAGCAAGGGTTCCTAAACAACAACAACGACCACCACCAACTCCAGCAACAGCAACACTAACAACAACCGCAGCAGCAGCAGCATCAAGCACCCAGCAACAAGAAGGCGGGCTTACCATTGACGGTCAACTGGAACTGAAGGAACTTGCGGATGTTGTCGTACACCCCCCGGCCCCACATGATAGCCCTCACAATGGAAGAGAACCTGTCATCCAGGATGACTATGTCGGACGCGTTTTGGGCCACCTGTTATTGGGGGGCGGACACGCGACTTGTGAGTGGACAGTTATCATGAGTTGATACACGAGCGAAGGACTCCACATACGGTAGCGTCCTTCAGATTCACGCACGGAGCGGCCGTCTCTCAAGGGACTTATATTTATCATAGCCAACAGTAAAACTCACCACATGGTTCGCCGCCGTCAAATGTCACAAGTTCTTCCTTACTGTACGAGACAAACCACGAAACACCCCCGTCATCCGCCCTCCTACCTTCGGCCCGGTCATTCTTATGGCACACCATCATACCGCATACTACAAACCGCGGAAAACTCCCGTCTTCCGCCCTCTCACCTTCGTCCCATGGGACACACCATACACTACCCAACAAACCAAGGAACACCCTCGTCTTCGGACCTCTACCTCACGTCCCAGTGATCCCTAGGAAACACCACCGTACCGCTAGCTCAACAAACTGAGGAACCCCGCCCTCTCACTTTCGTCCCGGTGATTCCCATGGAAAGACCCACGTCCGCCGCCTTAAGGGCGGGCGCGTCGTTAGTGCCGTCGCCGGTCACGCCCACAACCTCGCCCGACTTGTTCTGGCGCTTCCACTCCTCCTTGTATCCGGGGAGCAGCAGGTCCTTGTGCGCGTCCCAGGACAGCCCGAGGTCCCCGTCCTTGTCGTGCAAGTTCCTCCACTCCTGTTTTGTTTCGTACAACACCAAAACAAAGAGACAAAAAAGAAAAAAGGTTAGATTAGAAACGGTTGAAGGGGGGGGGGAGGGATGGGGTGTACTCATAGTCGTGCATGCCGTAGTCGTTAGACCATGGACCTCGCATCCCTACAAAGCCGGGACGGAGAACGCCGGGTTCTCACCGGACCAGGCTCTCACATCACCAAGCGCGAAGCGCCGTGATATATTCGGCCAGTCGCATGAAGGGTGCGCTGCATCCTGCTTAGGGGGTTCAGCATCTTGTGCTTACTTGCGTGCGTATGACAGCTGCGTATGACTTTATTTATTTCTGGTGCTTTCACTTCCAGAGACAGTTGTTAGCACTGTGCAACTGCCTCGAGGGTGATTGACCATTTTAACACAACGTGGTGCGATCATCCCCCTTGCGCGGAGTGAGGGTTCTCGACCCCGCACAAAATAATCTACTCGACCCTCATTATGGTTACCGCCAATAAAAAAAGGCAAAAATAAAGCGGTAACCTGGTGCCGAGCTCACGAGGTGATCAGCTTGTATTACAACATCGCTGCCAAGCGGCGAAAACCCAACCCCAATGGCAAACAACGCGGGGGGGGGGGGGCGGCTGGGGGGGG